TGCACCGACTCACTATTAAACTTTTTTTTTTTTTGGTTGAATATTAACATCACTACTGGAGTTTACATTTGACCAGTGGGGAAAAAATACAGCTCTGACATTCCCTAAATGGGTAATGAAACTCACATAGAGGGTTCAATACCGCTGTTGAAGGAATTAAATATCTTTGCCTGCTTTTTGAACTAATTTTGGATCAAGACTAGTTTCAGAGAAAGACTGACAAGACGTGAGAGGATTAAAGGTGCAGCAGCCATCGTTGATGACATACTAGTCAATGGTAAATCAAAAGGACGTCAAAACAAAAGTTGATCTTTTTAATTTTTATAGGAGAAGTATTGTATACTGTTGCACACAGAAAAGGCAGAATATTCAAGAAACCTTCAAAACCACACCATTGGGACTGTTATTGGACCTAGTGTGTGGCCTTTAAACCCAACCAAGAAGCAGAAGAACTGCAGACCAAATCTGTCTAGATTTGACCCAGTCCTGTATGAAATCAACTTCTGAAGCAGACTAGCGAGTCTGTATATGATGAGATCCATTCTGTCCTTGTTCCAGAAGGTGACCAATAGACTACGCTTCCAAATGAAGGCATGATCCATAAGTCTGCACATAACATTTATCCTAAACTAACAAAATTCAACCCAAGTCACTTACTATGTACTGCCATTGTACTGAGTTCACCCAAATGGATGTTCATTTAACAATCCTATTATCTGTTCGGCAGAATAAAGGAAGTCGTTAGATTTTTTAAGATTAGTGACCCTGGGCCACAAAACCAGTCATAAGGGTAAATTTTTCGAAATTGAGATGTATACATCAGCTGAAAGCTGAATAAATAAGCTTCCATTGATGTATGGTTTGTTAGGATAGGACAATATTTGGCTGAGATACAACTATTTGAAAATCTGGAATCTGAGGGTGCAAAAAAATCTAAATATTGAGAAAATCATCTTTAAAGTTGTCCAAATGAAGTTCTTAGCAATGCATATTACTAATCAGAAATTAAGTTTTGATATATTTATAGTAGGACATTTACAAAATATATTCATGGAACATGATCTTTACTTAATATCCTAATGATTTTTGGCATAAAAGAAAAATGTATAATTTTGACCCATACAATATATTGTTGGCTATTGCTACAAATACACCCCAGCGACTTAACACTGCTTTTGTGCTCCAGGGTCACATATGAGGATGAGTAAATGACAGCATTTTAATTTTTGGGTCAACCATCACTCTTATTTTTCAAACACTGATTTTATTTATTATAGTACTGCATCACTGCACCAGCATATTAGGAAATGAGCAATGAACATGAGAATTAACCGTGGCTGTCTGGCTAGTTTAATCCTTCACACGCTTCTGACACCTGCTCTGATCTGTGGTGTTGTTCATTAATCAGTCATCATATCGGCTCCTGCTCCACCGGTGGAGTCGCTCAGGCTCAGATCCTCCATCATCTCCGCCAGAGAGATCCTGGGAGCGCCGTCGTCATCCGTCTCACTTTCCACAGGGATCTTTGAAGCATCTGTACAGGGAAAAATGATTCTGGTATGAGTACGGTGAGAATATTAATTCAAGAGATGCGTTGTGGTGCGTTTCTTCACCTCTGAAGATGTTGACGTTCTTCCTCAGCATCTCATCTTCCTCCAGGTCCTCCAGGAATTCAGTGTATTGTCTATAAGAAAAAATATCATCATCAAACAGGCAACAAAAGCTAAATCAGAAAAGATTATGATGATTGGCGTTTCAAGTATAATTTAAGTTATGTTAAAAATACATAGATATTTAGAATATCAGTAGTCTGTTCCAATACCAGTGGATTTTTATGATTCTTGATCATTTCAATACCATACCAATTAAATTTTTTATTAAAATATTAAAGCTAATAATAATTTAAGGCTACATGGCATTAAGTAAATATTCATAAAGACCAGATCCAGTAATAAAATGAAAAACTATGCAACATAAAGAGAGCATCAAGTCTGTCTCACGTCTTATTAAAGCTACTAAAGTTATTCAGACAAGCGCAGTGAGTGTTTTACTCTTAAATATTACGTAACACTTCACAGTAAGGTCTCGTTTGTCAATATTTGTTAATGCATTAGCTAACACTGACAACGTTTACATGCACGCTCTTGTTTTTAACTCAAGCTGACAATGTGTGTGGTCATATTTACTCCAGATATAGGAGAAACATTAAGCACAAACCGATCAACATTTCATGAGTTTAGGGCCTCATTAAATTTGTTTTTACTTTTCCCTAAATTCTGTTTTCCATTTTATTTTTTCTGTTGAGACTCAGACGCTTGTGTATCAGATGAAACCACACCATTCATTCACAGACGCACACAGAGCATGCAGACTTATTAGCGCCGTGAACGGACTGCTGCTGTGGCCTTTATTTCTGTGGTGTGATCGTTAATTCATACGGAGTAAAAATGTCCAGAGCTTATCATCGTTATCGACAAAATTTATTGCGATATGATATTGCCCAGTCCTACCTTAACATGTCAAGTCTGATTATTGGTGTCTGGCTATATGACAGGGAAGCAATCTTACTGTGATTTAAGCACATCCGGCAAGTGTTTCGCAGTTAAAAAGTGAAATTATAAAAATGTGTTTTCATCTCTTGCAGAGTTAGACGTGATACAGTGAAAATACTGCATCTGTCAGATACACACATTTTTACGTTTGGCGTCACTACCATGAAATGTATATATATTAGTGCTGTCAAACGATTAATCGCATCCAAAATAAATATATTTAATATATAAACATAACATATTTTTCTGAAATATATACATGCATGTGTGTGTATTTAAATATACATAATAAATATACACAGTACACACATATATATTATGTAAACAAAAACTTTTATTTTGGATGCGATTAATCGCGATTAATCGTATGACAGCACTAATATATATATTAAAACAAAGTCTTTAATAAAGTTAGCATGGTTTCTGTACTGCAAGTACAGCAGAAAAATGGTATTGCTACACATTTACAATTTTAGTATCAGCTCACGACAGAAACACCGGTACTTTTGACATCACTAGACAAAATTATAATGTGACTATCACCAAAAATGGGGAAAACTAATGCTGTAGACATTCAAAGTCATTTTGTTCCTTATTCTTCATACGTTTATCCCAAGCAGCAACCTCCCGCTCTGTCTCGTGAAGCAAACACGGAAGTGACTTAAACTGTAATTCATCAACTGGCCGCTAGAGGCTGGCTGCAAAAGGGAGTCAGTCCCATAGACTCCCCATGTTAAAATGCCTAACTTTACAGTAGAAAAAAACATGTTTACAGCCTGGTTCAAAAAATGATTTTGGTCTATATAGCTATATACCCTTCATGACAACTGTGAGGGGGTGAATTTTTTTATAAGTCATCCGTTTAAATTATATTAAGCCTTAAAGTTCTGCATAATTAAGGGCGTGGCCACTTGAGTGACAGGGGGATTGCCGCCGCTTTCACCACCGTCGAGCTAGGTGGGCGTGGCTTCAGCAACCAGCTCCCGCCTTTTTGCCCATTTTCGATTATCCGGGAGTGACGCGCGGTCACGCGCTGCCAAGATGGCGACGGCCGGCTTTGCCCACTTTAGGCTTCAAAAACGCTCTTCAGGAACCTACGGGTGACGTCACGGACACTACGTCCATGTTTTTATACAGTCTATGGTTTATCCACACTATATCTGAACAAAGTAAATTTCATGTAAGCGTGTCTGTTGTATTTCACCCTGAAATCATGAAGGAAAAAAAAAACTTGAATAAAGAAAATGAAGCTTATTTTAGGACCATTACAGCTCTTTACATTAGACCATTTTTTATGACAACCCATAAATTATCATTAATGTAGAAGTCTCATCCTCATTACTGTAATGCTTCCAAGTTCTCATGGTTTCGTAATTGTCATTTTTCTCATTAATTCCAAATAAATTCTTCTCTCTGCAAGTTTTATCTGTTATTAGCATTCAACAAATACAGCTATGATTTAGTAATTTTTTCTTTGCATTATAATAAAGGGAATTTGAGGGGTAAATGTGAGCAGCCTCAGATCTCCTCACCTCTCATCATCGGTGTCTGTAGCGTCTCTCTCTCGGTCCAGCTCCCTCAGCTTCCACACTCGGTTCTTCACCCGCTTCATGCGGTCATAACTCTTCTTTATCAGCACCTGAACACCAGCAGCATGTTATTATTATTAATATCATTATTCAAGATCAACATGTTGCTGTAGCTAGCAATGTCACAGTCATGGGTTTGATTTCCAGAAAAAACAAGAATTGATTTGTATGTTGAATGCAATGCAAGTCGCTTTCAATAAAAGCGTAGTTCTGACTAATTCTGACACAAGTAGATGTTATCTTCACATATCAGGTATGATGGTTTTTTTGGGTATATTTTTCAGTTTATACAGACTGAGTGACTGACTCACTATCATTAAAATGTTGATGAGATGTCGATAAGATTTTTTAAATGTTTTTGAAAGAAGTCTCTTCTCTTCTGAAATATTGTTACAATTTAAAATAAGGTGTTTTCTATTGTAACATTTTTTTTTTTCCTGATGGCAAAGCTGAATTTTCTTCTACATTTTCTTCAGAATTTTTTTTGATGCATAGAAAAGAACATTTGAAACTTTTTGAAAATTTGAAATTTTTTTGGTAACAATTTAAATGTCTTAACTGTCACTTTTGGTCAATGAAATGCGTCCTTGCTACTTCAAAGTAATAATTTCTGACCCCAAAATTTTAAACAGTAGCGGATGTATTAAAAACAAAAAATTTATTTAAAAAAGCACTGCAAAACTGCCTCTGAAAGTGAGTTTAGACAAAAGCTTATGCAGTGTTTGCATATTTGTATCTAATCCTAGGGCATGCAGAATAGTTTGAGTGTCTAAACACTTCTTGGGGCCACTGTATTTGCACAGGCCCTACACATCATTTACATGCATACGAGTTGCAGTGATGATTCTTACCACATCAGGAACATGGTGAGGGTTCATCTTATTGAGGAACTCATCATTGATATTAGCATTGGCAAAATCAAAACTAAGGTAAAAAAAAAAGAAGCATGTTAAAATCAACATATTTCCCTGTTTTCTGCATTAAATCACTAAAGTGCCACGTGTGAACTGACCCCAGCACCAGATCTCCGATGTTCAGCAGGTGACCCAGGAACGTTCTGCAGTGATACTGATGACTAGAGTCCATCTCTGACGTCTTCTGAACCCAAACCTCAGCCAACGTGTGCTGCAAACACAAACACGCAAATTTATAATAGTACAATCAGATGATGTACCAAATCCATTTGTCCTGTTAGGGCAAGTGTGTGTAGTGCATGAGAAACAGAACAGGGCAGATGCTACAAAACACATTCAGTGTAGACGGCATTATTGATTATAATGGGTTCTATGTAGCCGGTATTCGGTAATGCGATATGTCACGATAATGAATATGCACGATATTTGTTTTGATTGTTACCGTGGGCACTTCAAAATACCGAGAATAATTATTTATTACAAATTATTCCGAATTTTGAATGCATTTTAAGAATACTTTTCCCATCAACTGGTCACAATGCACAACAGCGCTGTATGCTGCGTGCACTCTCTGATGTAAACAAGCACGGATGAGAAGCGCACGGCGGAGCGCGTGGCGGAGCGCGTGAGAGACGCTCTGGATGAAAGCACTTTTACTCTCTGACAGCAGATGGCGCTGAACAGCAGAAATGCAGCTGTTACCCCGGAAACCCCAAGAAACAAAGCAGCTGTGCTACTTTGTTTCTGAAACGTGTTTAAATGATTTAAACAGCTGTTCAGATTTGTGTATTTGCTATGATGTTCATCACAGCGCCAAATATTTAAATATTTAGACTTAATAGGCTATTTATTTTCAAACTTTTTTACATTTTAATCTGGACTACACTTTAATCTGTGTAAAACTTTTAACTTTACACATTTTGTGTGTATTGCTTTATTGTATTTAAATGTTCAGATATTTTTGTTATAAGAAACAAAGTTATTAAACCTGGTATACTGTATTGTGACAACACTTTTTTTGCAACTAAATTTCAACACCGTGATAATACCGTATACCGTGATAAAAGCTTTAGCAATTAATCACATCATGAAAATTCGATACCGGCATATCCCTAGTTCTATGTCCTTTTGATGTGACGCCACGGTGTAAGACAATCCAGACAGTCATTCTGCGTTCGGATGAGCCTAAGCCCTTCTGTGCCTCTATGTATTGAAGTGCCTCTTAGATAAGGAACGTTTAAGGAGATGCATCCATATGAAATGCATCTGATTGGGTTATGAGCATGATACAGAGTATCCTGAAGACAGTATAGCTGACTAATCATTTAAAGAAGAACTGTGAAATCTGTTAAGTCTTTGGGTTGGAACAAAATTAACATTATTAAGCAGTTACCAGCATTTAAAGACAACACTTCCACTTCACTTTAGTATTCGTCACTTGTTGTTTACTGGAGTATAGGGATATGCCGGTATCAAATTTTCATGTTGCGATTAATTGTTAATGCTTTTATCACGGTATACGGTATTATCACGATATTGAAATTTAGTTTAAAAAAAAAGTGCTGTCATAATACAGTATAACAGGTTTAATAACTTTTTTCATATAACAAAAATAACTGAACATTTAAATGCAATAAAGCAATACAGAAATATAAGGGTTTACTCTTAGTTTTTTCTGTAATTTAATTACAGTTACTTCTGATGTAATTACATTACCGTGATATATGGCATTACCGAATACCGGCACAAGTCTACTGGAGTATGTAGGAGTTTTACCTTATTGGACGTGAGACCGGCGCCGGCTCCTAACTTCTGATCTCTGATAATGTCGATGTCCATGACCATGAACTCCTCCAGCTGACGCGGGCTACACAGACTGCTGAACGGGTGACGCCAGAATGTGTTCCCTTCCACCTCAGCAACTGAAATCAAACACACACTACAATAAATAAAATACCATCCTCTAAAGACCTGGGCGTTATGATTGACAGCAGGTTTTTTAAAAAACATATTTCAGCAAAAGTTAATGGAGAAGCACGATAATAGATATGACAATATTAATGTATTTGATCTCGCCAGACTAAATGTGTCCCTGCAGCACAAAAGCAGTGTTAAGTCGCTGGGGTATATTTGTAGCAATAGCCAACAATACATTGTATGGGTCAAAATTATCCATTTTTCTTTTATGCCACAAATCTGTTAAACTGTAATTGATTTCTGTGTATTTTCAGCATCATTGCTCCAGTCTTCAGTGTCACATGATCTTCAGAAATCATTCTAATATGCTGATTTGCTGCTCAAGAAACATTTCTGATTATTATCAGTTCAGAAAATGCATTTCCAATTTAATGAATCCTTGCTGAATAGAAGAAATATATCTTACTGCCCCAAATATTTGACTGTTAGTGTACACAGACCATACAAACAACCTCCCCCAGCAAGACAGAAGAGCATAAACACATTACAAGACAATATACAGACGTACATAACAACCCCAACTAAACTGAAGAAAAACATGCATGTCAATATAGGACACCACAATACATACAACAATAACTTTGTGTGCCGTTAAGAAATAACATATGTTGCAAGCTGATAAAGAAGAGAGAAATAAGCCCCAAAACCACCTGAGCAATAAGCCATTGTCTTTTGAACACAAGTACGTGTAAGTGTGCAGTAACTCACTCTGCAGGGTGTTGGGGTCAATCATGTGTATAGAGCTGGTGACCCGGATGCAGACACACACCTGACCCATGTTTCCCAGACTCTGGGCGAGCCGTGGAGACAGACACACCACGTTATCCTGCGAGACAGCGAGGAGGGGGATTTTTATTTTCTAAAGCTATGCATTACATGTGAAATCGATCCATGAATGTGTGTGAGCAGAGCGGAATACACAGCACAGAATAATGCGTCCCGCTTTTTAATTATGCGTTCCAATGATTAAACCGTTCTTCTTGACGGTAGATCTGCACGATATATCGTTTCAGCATCGATATATTTCACATAGATATCACATCGCAGGATGTGTGAGGTTCAGTATACTGATCGCTATATTTATGTCGAAACGCATGTCTCTGCAAGTATCCTTGTAAACACAGTTGCTTATGGTTTAGGTAAACAAGTGAGAAAGAAAACGGATGTGTAACAGTGTATTGTTTCCGGAGGCTTTCTGTGTCATGAATGTAAATCAAACAACAAAACACTGAGAGAAAAATCACTTTTGTAGCTTTAACACAGATTTGTTAGATTTGTGTGAGGACAGTGAAGACTACGCAGTGTTGATTATTCATTTTCTGCAACTGAATACTGTTAGACTTACCTGAAAAATATAAAACACTGTTTATTTCATTTGTATCTTTGTTCTATTAAATGTGACCCTGGAGCACAAAAACACAGTATTAAGGGTCAATTTTTTGAAATTGAGATTTATGCATCATCTGAAAGCTGAATAAATAATCTTTCCATTGATGTATGGTTTGTTAGGATAGGACAATATTTGGCTGAGATACAACTATTTGAAAATCTGGAATCTGAGGGTGCAAAAAAATCTAAATATTGAGAAAATCATCTTTAAAGTTGTTCAAATTAAGTTCTTAGCAATGCATATTACTAATCAAAAATTAAGTTTTGATATATTTACGGTAGGAGATTTACAAAATATCTTCATGGAACATGATCTTTACTTAATATCCTAATGATTTTTGGCATATATGTTCCTTATAAATATGCTCCAGGGTCACATATTTATCTATGCTTGTAATTTGTTTATTTTTTTATGCTGATTTACTCACCTACAAAATCACCGATTTTTTTTTCTTTCAAATAGAGCTATTCAAGCCATCTGGTGATTTTGTTTTTTCATGTCGCAATATATATCGCAGAAAAACAAAATATCGCAATGAGAGTTTTTTCCAATATCGTGCAGCCCTACTTGACGGTACAACATACATCAACAGAGAACCAGAAAATAAAAACCAATAAAACAGTCAGTGAAAAGCATTCACCCAGCATGAACGAAGCACAGAATGAATAAACGATGTTTACCTTACACACAGGAACGATCTCCATTGAGAAGGTGCTTTTGTAGTTGTAAGTATTGGAGTGAATATCATGAGAGATCAACCGCTGAGACGCCTTCGACCTTCACAAACAACATTCCCTATTAGTTTAATACACCCAACATAAAAACTCATCACAGCAGGGATTTGATTAGATACAAGACTTTAGCTCTTTCTCATGCTTCCCTTCAACGACACACTGAACTAAACAAAGCGAATCTTACCGTTTGCAAAGTGCATGGTATATGTTTGGGATTTCAGTTGTGTGCATTCAAATCACTAAACTCTACATATGAGCGAATGCATGTGAAATAGTTTATCCAGCAGAACAGGTGCACAAACTAAATGAACGTTTTGTTTCATAAGACTATGATTTTCAGACCTGCAGGGAACTGTGCACTGCAAGAAATCCACCATCTTCTGAGCATGCTGCTTAGAGGCGTAGTAAAAATCAATGCCCTCTGAAGACAGACAGAAATATATTAAAAAGGAAGAACAATACAGATGGGTCAAACCTATGACTATAACCAGAACTCATAACACAGCATCAGACAAACACCGAGGAGGAGGAGGAGGATGATGGGAAATATACCATGAATCTCTTTGATGCGCACTGTGTTCTGATGCAGCTTGTGCTTCAAAATCAGCTGCTCCAAGTAGTAAAATGTCTTTTTGTGGACAGTCTGAAGAACGAAAAAGTAAATAATACAATGCTGAAGGCACAGAGAAACAGTAACACTTTAAATAATAAACACAGAAGGCAAATGTGAATGATACTGTCTGAAAGCAATAGGGTTCAGCTAGAGATGCACCGATCGATCGGCCAGGTCGAAAAAATAATTATAATATATGATTTAGGTACGCAGCATTGCACGACCAAGATGTTTAACCCGAATATCAACGCGATTGCAATGTGACACTGATTTTATACAATAGTAGTTCAATAAACAAAAGTGTTAAAATTAAGTAACTTACATTTTAGACACAATATTCACTGTTTTTGCTAAATTTCGCTGACGAAAGTAGTTCTAATCAAAGCCACAGCACAACTGTTTTGTGTCTCCGAGCAACACAGCGGTGTTTCGTTACGGAATGATTCCACGTTTTTGAACGAATCGAGTGAATCAATGATTCAGAAACCCATTCATAAAAGACAGTCACTTTCCTTGTTTCTGAATGAATCAGTCGTTAGAACGAATCGGTTGAATGAATGACTAAATGACTCGCAGTCATTTGCCGCCACCTACTGGTGGTTTGGTTTCATATTTAAAATGATCATTGCATTTCCCCCAACATTTCTTATTTGTATGTTTAAAATATTTAAAACATTAATCTTATAAAATTATTTATGCATTTGAAATTTTGCAGTGAAACTGCATTTATAGTAACTTAGTCCAGATTGGAGGGAATTGTAATGTTTAATAATAATAATATATTTTTTTTGCATTGAAAAAAGTATAGATTTTTGTTTGTATATGCTGTCAATGATATAGTTCTTAGAAAGAAAATCAGAATCAGCAAAAATCGGTATCGGCAGTTCACACTTAAAAAAATAAAATAAAATCAGAATCGGCAAAGAAAATTGCAATCAGTGCATCTCTAGGTTCAGCAGAAGTAGGCCCAAAAAAATTAAAGACACTTCCCTGAAGATCACTGAAGGTTACAGATATCAGCATATTGCAGTCAAAATTCAGTTTACATTTGCTTTTCCTAATTGTTACTACTTGAGTTTTTCACAAAAAAAACAAACAAACATCAATTCCGATACCACAGCAAAAACTAATACTTGACTTACTAATATAAGTACAGTCAATTAATTGATACGAGTATAGTTCTCAAGCAATTATTGAAGACAACTAAACAGTCAGTTGTAAAATAAGACTAAAGCGGCAAATTAAAAATAATAAGGAAAACAAATACAAAAGACTTACAAAATCTAACAATAATATTAATGTAAGAAATACTATAGAAATTAAAAGCAATCAAATTAAATATAAAACAAAACACTGTGTAAATTAAATACACATTGATCCTTATTAGCAGCAGGTATATTAGGCTGCTCTCACTTTAAGACCTAACTAGCAGAATGTCAATGGCACAATAAATGACAAATAATCGTAACTCTTACCATGCTTTTAATTCAGTGCAACTTAACATTTGATTAAATATTTTAGGATTAAATACGTAAGGAATAATTGACAACAGGCCTTTGAATTCTTAGAAAATAATGCACACATTAAGTTAATTTTCTTCACGAACAGCGCCGCTGTTGTTACCTCGCTTATGAGAAGTCATGTAGCTTTTAAGTTGATGTTACTGATAAAATCGTCAGAGTAGCGCTAACAACATAAGCGTGTATGTTAGCGTGTGTGCAAACCGTATGTGCGTCTGTGACGGAGAGAGCGGGAGAGATAGAGTATGTGCTTTCCGTACATAATAAAATGTAATTTTGTGGCGAAAACATGGAAATGATCTGTCGTTTTTTTCCTATTGTTTACTATATTGATTTGTTTGGCCAGTGTCGTTGTGGGTTTTGGTTCTTTTGCTGTTTTAGGCTGTAAGTTCCTTTGAAATAACTGAAGTGATATGAACATGTAATGCAGTCAAGAGCTTCCTGGAACTACGTTGTAATTGCACACCTTAGAACGTTCGTCAGCCAATCAGATTCAAGCATTCAACGGCCCCGTAGTATAATTTAAATATTTTAGCAACGCTCTGCTCTAGGCATGCGTCTCCTGCGTGTACCTTCTGTCTGACTTGCACGACAGCTTTCCAGAAGTCTTTGGCCTCCACCCGATGGCAATCCTCACACATCTGAGGCTGAATGACAAACTCCACCACGAACACCTGCTGCAGAATGGCTCCATTCATGACCTACAGACACATCAGTCTCACTGAAACACTTCCAATCTGGAGTCCCCTCAGTCTAGAAGTCTCCTACACTACCTCTTTCTGGATGGTCAGCTTCATCTTGATTCTTTTAGAGTGCGGCTCCGTCCATAAGAAGCCCGCATCGATAAGTCTCACCTTGAGGGTAATAAACGAAACACACTGTGAACTCAGCATCAGCTGCAGCGGTCGTCGATGTGATTCTGTGAGTTACCAACCTTTGCCATGGAAGCCTTGAGTTTCTTAAGGCACAGAGCCAGAAGCTCACGGGACTCCAGAGCGCACTGGAGCCACGTCCCCGGAGGCTGCAGGTACCTACAGACACACAAGAAAACACTTATTTAGACGTCATCGTCACACACTCAGAGCTAGAACTTTCGATCTGTGTTTCAGGGATCTTTACCATCATCCAATCCATATTCTAGTCCTTTATTTCAGTTCTAAAAGAGATGCTGACATGCTTTAGAGCTGTGCAATATTCCTGCACACAAGTAATCGTATTCTAAATGAACTAAAACATATGTGGACCACAAAACCAGTCGTACGGGTCAATTTTTTGAAATTGAGATTTATGCATCATCTGAAAGCTGAATAAATAAGCTTTCCATTGATGTATGGTTTGTTAGGATAGAACAATATTTGGCTGAGATACAACTATTTGAAAATCTGGAATCTGAGGGTGCAAAAAAATCAAAATATTGAGAAAGTCGCCTTTAAAGTTGTCCGAATGAAGTTCTTAGCTATGCATATTACTAATCAAAAATTAAGTTTTGATATATTTACGGTAGGACATTTACAAAATATCTTCATGGAACATGATCTTTACTTAATAGCCTAATGATTTTTGGCATAAAAGAAAAATGTATAATTTTGAGCCATACAATGTATTGTTGGCTATTGCTACAAATATACCCCAGCGACTTAACACTGCTTTTGTGCTCCAGGGTCACATACATGTTCCTTTTTCACTATTAATCAAAACCATCGGTCTCATTCACTAATAAAGCATGGATTATTAGCATTTATACACACAGGAGAACTTAACGTTGCTGCTCCCAAATTGTTGAATTTTCCTTCTTTTGGATTTAAGATCTAAGGACACGTTTTAAAAGCAGCTAAAACCTTGCTTTTGTTTAAATGCTTTTGCATTGCTCTGTTTTATCTGATTGTTTATTTTTAATGTCAGTCATTTGAGTGGGTCTTTTGTAAATCACAGTAAATAGTCATAATTTTTTGGTACGGAATGTATGGAAAAAAATTAAAGCTGCATTAAACTTACTGTTTTGATGCTTGAATCATGTTAGTGAATGAGGCCCATTTATTATCATATATGTTCTTGACAAGAGAATATAAACATCAACAGGTAGTTAATAAGAGTGTCATGATGCTTTCGTCTGCATTTTATGATTTAAAGGGATAGTTCACCCCCCCAAAAAATGACAATTCTGCCATTATATACTCCTCATAAGACATTTATCAGTTATGAGTTAAGTTCTTGTAATGTTTCTCAGTTGTGCTCCAACCCTAACTCCACTTTCATTGTCAGTAGACATGGTCATAGTTTATTTTCTTGAGCTGTTAAGTCGATTTCAGACCGTACCGTTCACACTGCCTGCAGAAATGGACGGTGACTTGCTTGGGAATTCCTTCCGAGATGTCCACTTTATTTCTCAAGCAGGAGACGCACATGTTGGCTGGGTTTGGAGGAATGGCAATGCCACACATACAGCACAGGCTGCGAGCCCAGAGAAAAGCAGAAAGAGCGAGTGATTCAGAAATGATCCAAACATCTCAATCAAAAGAGTTCATTCAGAAAGCAATGGAGATGAACATTTGAAAACACTCTTATAAGCTGTCACTATCACAACACTCACAAAAATCAGACTGTGATACTCACATATTGCCTTGGCTGCTTGAGGGCGGGCCTTGCATGTACTCCATGACTACAACAACAAACCAAAGATAATAACTCATTTTAATAATCGCATCCGAAATAAAAGTTTGTTTGCATAATACATGTGTGTGTACTGTGTATGTTTATTATGTATATTTGAACACACACACATACAGTATATATTTAAGAAAAATATGCTATGTTTATATATTAAATATATTTATGTATAATATAGGTTATATAAATATATGTTTGTGTATATATGCATAATAAATATACACAGCACATACACACATATGTAAACAAAAACTTGTATTTTGGATGCGATTAATCGCGATTAATCGTTTGATAGCGCTACATTTTAATAACCAAAAACTCCCAGGAAAGTCTAACAGAAGAGAACAGTGCTTCTTGGATTCTCCCTGTAGCTTCTGATTTGCGCTTTATTTGCCTGGCGTTATTTATATTATATATGGATGATTGTGGAAATCCTGCATGTAAAACATGAGTATTATTACCGTCTGACACATGACTGTACTAACGTTACCGTTACCGTAGCGCTGTTTAGTAAGGTGCGTGTCAGTATATAGAAACACTAAACCAATACTCACTGTGTTGGAGATTCGGCGATAACCAATTCAATTAGATCAATAACTTCTGGTGAGCATCACATGAACACAGCACACGTGTCTGCGCCTAGGCCAATAACGTGAACTAGAGAAAGCATTTATTTCACAATGAAAAAAACACACTGGTAACAAGTGGAGGGAAACGGGTAAAATCCATGGAATAAGAAAAAATTGTGCCTTTTGATCAAAATCGGAATGCAAATAATTTTTATAGATACTGTCGTCAAAGACGCCATTTGAAGCTAAACGCAGACGTTTAAATGGACAGACTTACGGATGAAAACTTCAATGATTACTCTACATTTAAAGCATACATTTGATTTAAACAATAGGTCTACATAATTTTCACATATGCAGTTCATAGTATTAGCCCTACAGTTACCGCATAAAATATTATTTAAAGCTATTCCTATTAACATTTTACATAACATTGATTTATTTCATCTCACAATTCTGTTTTTTTTTTCCCCTGGCAAATGCAAGTTTATATCTGCTAATTCGGACTTTATTATTATTATTATTATTATTTCTGCAACCATGATGCGCGCGCATCCCGAATGTTTACGAACTTGTAATTAGCCTAAAGAGAAACTGACTGTTGTTCCAGGTAAGTGATTCCTCAAGAGCTGTTTCATATCTCTCATATTTTCACCCCTTTCTCACATAGTTAAATAACTACAAATCAAAACAATATTTCATGTCATTTTTTTAAAATGTATTTGTAAGTTTGCTTATTTATTTAGTTGGTCAAAACAAGCCTCCAACAATCCATTTGATTACATTGCAGAGGTGTATAACCAGTTTTTTTCTTCATTAAAAACCAGGAAACTCTGACTCACAATTTTGTGGTTCCTATTTTTATTACTCCAGCGCAGAGCTGGGACTTTTATTTTGACAGGTCGTTTGGTTTCTTGTATTTAGAATGTAAATAAACAAACGTGAGACCATCGTCTTGTGTGTGTGAGTGTGAGACTGCAGATGTTTTGTCTCACTGACAACACACAGCTCTAGTACTGACGGTGAAAACCTGTCTGTCTGCCATCTGATTCTGTCAAACAGCAGCACACAGGGTTGCCAGGTCTTCACAATAAAACCCCCCATTCCTACTCAAAACTAGCCCAATGGTGTTTCGAGGGGGTTTGCATTGCAATTTACAGTGTTGGGGAGTAACTAGTTACATGTAATGGCGTTACGTAATTTAATTACAAAATAAATATACCTGTAATCGGTTACAGTTACTAAGACACAATGTGTAATACACAAGTGCTATAACAAGTCTCAGTTAGCTTAACGCAGTACACATAGCAAGTTTTTTTAAAATTATATAATAAATAAAAAGAAAACAGATAGAATAGAAAAAGAATAGAGAAGCTAGTGTTAGAGGCCTTCTTTGCTTTTGTTAACTGTATAATAAATAAAAAGAAAACATAAAAAAAACTAGAGAAGCTAGTGAGTATATATGAGTACATGAACACATGAACATAATATCTAGAACTGCTGAGTCACTTCATGAGAATTTCACCGTTTCTTTTGAGAAAATATCGTCATATCATATACAAACAGATGTTTTAAAAAAAACACCAATGTTTCAGGAGTTAATAAGACACATGCTTATTAGATGGCCCTATTTGGGTTGATGTATATGCTTTTATTTAAATAACTGTTTTTTCCCCCCAAAGCATTGTTAGATGCCAGTGTTTCCTGTAGTTATGCGAAGATTTGGTTTCAAAAACAGCATCAGTAAACAATTTCTTATGATTTTAAATCTGCATTAAACTTCAGATCAATCTCAAAGTAAAAGGCGGTACGAAAGTCTGATTTTGTGGTGGATGTGTTCAAATGTTTTCATCTTAATTCAAGTGATGAAGGATTGTGAAAGTCTGACAGTGTTGAGCACTACTGTAAGCTTAACCCTGCATGGTGTAAATGTTTGAAAAGGATTAACAGCTGAAAACATTCATTAGAAAATAAGAAAAGTAATCAAAAGTAAGTGACATTACTTTAATAAAGTAATTGAAAAAGTTACATTTTAGATAGGGTAACTTGTAATCTGTAACCTATTACATTTCCAAAGTAACCTTCCCTACACTGACTATATCACGTTTGCTTCGGACATGAAAAACAACAGTAGCCCAATAGACCTTTCTCACACTTCCTATATCCGGTGAGTGAAGCAGTGGATCGCCACTTCCGGTCGCACAGCAACGCAATTAAAACTAATGAGAGATCCTCTCTTTCCTTTCTTTGGCCGGTGTTACTGCAGCGTACCTGGCTGCTTTTATTCTAAACAACGACACACTGCCTAGGTTTTCACCATTTCCTGATCAAACATGGATGAGATGCGGTGGGATGAAGGTCCTTCTAAAATATTACGCGGGAGCACGTTCGCGTGGAATATGCATTTCGAAACTGAGGATGTTTAGGCCTACATCTCATATCACCTGCTGAAATGTTCCTACACTCTAAAAAATGCTTTTTTTTGACCCAGCTATTGGGTTGTTTTGACCCAACTATTGGGTTGTTTTGACCCAGCGGTTGGGTTGTTTTGACCCAGCGGTTGGGTTGTTGGGTTGGGTTTGTCCCTTTTTAACCCCGCGCTGGGTTATATTTAACCCAGCATTTTTTAGAGTGTATTAATACATTTCCCTTCCAAATGTGCATTCTGAATAATAAATACATTTATTTCCCAACTAACCTGCTGCAGTCAAGTTCATCTTCTCATTAACAATGTTTTTCTCTTACTGATCATATTTCATACCCGTTTACATTTTTAAAATGAATTTGACTGATAAACACCTTTACAAAAATTAACCATGGTTTTACTATAGTAAATATGTAGTAACCATATTTAATTTCCGCGTACTGATTTCCATTTGTATTGCCAGTTTTTTACTACACATACCATGGTTAATTTTCGTAAGAGCAGTATTAAACTAGATGAATGAATGCGCGGGCGTTGCCTTAAAGAAATGTAACAGTGTTGAACGTTTAGGCTAATTAATCTTAAACAGTATAACACGTGACTTTGAATATTAATTAAGAATTTTGGCATAAATATGTGAATTACATACAGTGATATGACTGAATGAAAAACGGCAGAATAATGACTAGAATTTAATGCAAATGAATAAATATGTTAATTCTGATCTTATTCATCAGGTCTGGCACACAATGCAGCACTGCAGTCACTATTTAAACGAGCGCTGGCACAGTGTGGTGAAATCGGTAACGTTACGTTGGATTAAAACAACAAGTTGTGTTGAGTTTGGAAAATTCTGTGCACAGTAATCGTCAGAATATCTCTTCGTCTGTCTCTGAAAATGTCCGGATTTTCAAATCATCCTGCAGATGCTCATTTTAACAGGCTTTTATTCAACTAGGTGATTGCAGCATATTGAAAAATATACATAACGGGAAGAATCGATACACTGCTTCGACGAGCACTTCCGGTAATCAATTCCGCTGTGATAAAGGTCTATTCGCGGGAAAACCGCGGACTTGGCAACCCTGACACGAGAGCGCGCTGCCGTGAGCACGCGCGATGCGCGCACCCGCTACACAGAACACCTGCCCGCGCAGCCGCGTCGCAGGACTAAACACGGCATTTATTTACCATTCTCGAAGGGAAACAAGCGTTGCATCTGGTTGTTATTTTAAAAAGAAAACAAACTGCATGCACTAATAATTTTCGAAGGGCTAGTCTTGACATGAACAGGGTTCTGATGTGTGCACGCGTCATTAGCGCAGTGGAGGAGAGCAGGAGCGTCTGTCTGTGATGCGCTGCCGTCATTAGTTCAGTGTGAGCGAGAGAGAGTGTGTGTGTGTGTGTGTGAGGGAGCATGAGTCCGCTGGCTCGGACCGTGCGCTATCTGCTGCTGCGGCCGCAGACTCTGCTGCTCCTCGGCGGCAGTCTGGCTCTCTGGAGCGTCCTCGAGGTGAAGACCATCCTGCGCTCCAGCCGCGACGCCGTCAGCAAGATGAAGGGCCGGGTGGAGGAGATGATGCACAGCGAGGGGATGCTGCTTGAGGGGTTCTCCAAGACGTGGCAGCACAAGAGCAGCGGCGCAGCGGTGTACTCCATCCAGGGCAGGAGGGATCACATGGAGGACAGGTTCGACATCGTCACAGACGCACTCAACCAGAGCCATACCAACATCTACGGCATCTTCGATGGGCATGGAGGAGAGGTGAACATGTCTGTCTGTCTGTGCATGTATCTGTCTGTCTGTCTGTCTGTCTGTGCATGCATCTGTCTGTCTGTCTGTCTGTCTGTCTGTGCATGCATCTGCGCTCTAATTTTCTACTTAATATACTAAAAATTATCCTTTAGATAATTTTTCACTGTGAATATGAACTAAAATGCGCTTTTAACATACTATCTCTGTATTTTAAAAAAATTATTTAGTCAGCGCACTTACTTCCTGTCGCTCGCTCGCGCTCTCAAGTGGCCAAGACCGCAAGTGTGAGTATTTGGACAAAGCTTATGAAAGATGGGTTCAAGTGTACTACAAGTGGTGACTAAATAATTTTTTTAAAATACAGAGATAGTATGTTAAAAGCGCATTTTAGTTCATATTCACAGTGAAAAAGAATCTAAAGAATAATTTTTAGTATATTAAGTACAAAATGAGTGCGCAAAAATAGAGCCCTTTAAGTAAGTACATTATGGAAGTGTACTTTTTTTAACCTGGGACATTTGTGACTCTGAACCACAAAACCAGTCATAAGGGTCGATTTTTGTCATATGAAAGCTGAATAAATAATCTTTCCATGGATGTATGGTTTGTTAGGATAGGACAATATTTGGTCGAGATACAACTATTTGAAAATCTGGAATCTGAGGGTGCAAAAAAATGTAAATATTGAGAAAATCATCTTTAAAGTTGTTCAAATTAAGTTCTTAGCAATGCATATTACTAATCAAAAATTACGTTTTGATATATTTACGGTAGGAAATTTACAAAATATCTTCATGGAACATGATCTTTACTTAATATCCTTAATATTAGTTTACTTAATATCCTGAAATATTTGGTTTCCATAAAATGTAATGCTTGCATTAACATCAGC